CACAGCCCCTCGTTTGTTGTCCTCTTCTCTCTCTCTGCCTACGGTTTACCGGACAGTTCTGTTTGTGACGATATATATATATATATGTCACAGCCCCTCGTTTGTTGTCCTCTTCTCTCTCTCTGCCTACGGTTTTACCGGGCAGTTCTATTTGTGACGATATATATATATATATATTTATGTGGTACAAAATTTCAATGAGACCCTAGAACATAATTTGTTGAATTCATTTTTTCGCATAACATTTTTAAAAATATATATATTTTTATTTTTTTTGGGGGGGGGTGCAGAGCTTCTTTGACCTTTGCACGGTTGAAACGCCTATGCAGGGGGGTAAGGTTGGCCCCCGTGGTAAGCTTTTTGAGAGTTTTCGTAGCACCGGTTTTTACCCTTGTTACCTTTTCCTTGGACTCTTTTGTAGGCTAGTACGGTGTTGCAGAATTGAGGGGTGACGGATGGTTGCGAATGGTTGATATGTCTCGTTTTTTACGGAACGTGATTTGAACCTGGACCGTTGTATTGTTAGGCTTATATTTGGATTGTGTAGGAACTTACGTAGCTTTTCTTCGAAGATTAGGTATCGTGACTTCTCCGTACTTTGAGAAGCCTCTGGAACTCCTTTAGACTGAGATATAAGCAGTCAGATGGAAGTCCTACAGTAACTTCTCAAGACCCCTGATGAGTCGTGGTTTGGTGGCCACGCGAAACCGGTCGGGTCATACGCCTGCGACTTCGTCGCATTGTGCTCTATGTTTTTTTTTAAATCAGTCGCGTTCGGGTTTCATCGAAGCTTATTCCCTGTCCCGCTCTCTGTCTTCTCTCATGAACGAATAGCAGTGTAAGCAAAGATCATCTGCTCGAAATTCCAATAGAACATAAGACGTTGACTCGATGGATTGCTCAAGAACCGGCAAGCGGCCCTTTGTACACAATAGATTTACACAAGAGGGGAATCACACTCTCCACCTCAAAACATACACCTCCTTGCAACCGTCCTCGAGCATGTCGAAGCTCAACAGACCGAAAATACTAGAAACAATACTTCCCCCAAACAGCCGCTTTAAAATTTTTCACTTATCAATCAACAAATCTTCCCCCGTACATACAACACGCACACATCGTATCTTACAATCACTACACCTCTCAAGGATCGTACGCAAGCTTCTCGAAACATCCCCAGAACTGGAATGAAAACACATCAGACTACGGCTGGTTCTTACCTTCCTCGTAGCTACTTCCTGTCCACACTCCCTCCGCCTTCTCCTCTCACGACACCCAGGCCGTTTCCTCTTCGTACTTTTCTTCTTGTCACGAGTGTTGAGTGCCGGACACATTAAACGAATAAAAAACTTTTCCACCTCCAGTAGATCGTCATCGGGACACGCACACAACGGAATAGCCACATAATTAGCACTACCCCTTCTAAGTATCCAAGAGTGAAGCCGCTCATTTTTGCGCCCTCCTTCAGCTACCTTAAGTTGTGTTGACCGATACACGTGTTCACCCCACCTGGCATGTACGTCTCTCCCAGTACTCCCAATGTACAAATGCTTACACCACGGAGAAAATAAAGCATAGACTACAGGACCCTTCCATTCACGCTCACCACCTCCGTCGGACGCTAGATAGCTCCAGATAAAAGGAATGCGCTTAGCTTCCCAGGAAATCTGTTCCGAAACGATCAGAAGGCACACAACGAGAATTAACAGAAAATTTACCGTTCGATCGTGCAATAGTTGGTGAGAAAAGGACCTAAGTCTGCATAGAAAACGAACGATATTCCATAGCCGCGTTGCATTCGGGCAAGACACTAAGAGGTGGCCGTGTCTTGCCCATCATTGCGTCCTAAGTCATCGCTCTCCTCCTCCGTGACTTCGACCACAGAAACGAATGCACCCTTCCCTTTCTCCTCATCAAACGCTTTTGCCACCCTTTAACAAATGATCTCCTCCTTAGTTTGTTCCAACTTCGTATAAATTACGCCCTCCTTGTTGCAAATTTTCATCACCTGGTCCTTATTCAACTTCTTCATCTGCTTACGCATCGCCTTTGCGAAGGTCTCCCGCTCATTCACCTGCTCGCCCGGAGTCTCGTCACCTTTCTTCTTAATCGAAGAGCAACCCACCTTCCTAGCCGAAGGACCCGTCACTTCATCCAACCGACTTTTCAAGTTCGTCCCTCGTTCTTTCTCCATCGCAAATTTAGCCATTGCTTCTTTTAGTCTTTCGACCTCCTTCTCTGCCTCGATCCTGCCATTAACGTCCTTCAAGCGGATTTCCTTCAACAGGTCCACCTCCATATTGTGGCGTTCGACAATACCTTTGAGCTGCGGATTAACTCGAAGCTCGGTCGGCAGCCCAGAAGGTGTACTACGCTGTCGTACCCTAGCAGAAATAGGAGTCTGCCCGACCGCGATGCTTCCCCTCTTGTTGCCAGGACGCAGAGCCTCTGCCTTCCACAATTCCGCATTCGCTTCTGCTTCCTCTTTGGCCTTGGTCAACGCCGAAAGTCTTTCCTCGAGCAGGGCAAACCGTCGGGCCACTGCAGTCCTCATCTTGTTCTCGCTTCAAACGTTCGACCATATCTTCTTCGACCACAGGTTTGGCCACCGAAAGGATGGTTTATCCACATGGTTCTTCTGAGCCATCCGAGCAACTTCTTCACGTAACTTAGCCACTTCATTGTTCGCCTTATCCTTCTGATCAATTTTCTCACACACCATCTCCCATCGACTATTCAATTTTTCTCGCATCCTTGATTGCCACTCCTCTCTATCTTGTTTCTCAAGCAACCGACGATCTTCCTCAACTTTTTCTCTCTTCTTCCGTTCTTCTTCTTCGTTCGCTACTAATTCCTTTGCTTCAGCTGCATCGTGCTTTTCCTTGATTTTGCCGACTATATCTTCAAGAGTCGCCACTCGATTACATAGTTACCCTTTGTCCGAATACTGGCCGCCATACTGCCCAGAGTACGAAGTAGCGGCAGGGGCCATAGTGTCGGTCGCAGAATTACCAGAAGACAGCGCCATAAGTGGTTGAGTCGGGACTATAGCGGTGCTAGTGGAAGGAATAACGCGCCTATCGAAAAAAGGACAATAATGGGAAATATGGTATGCTTGCCCACAATTATAGCATGCTCGGTTGTCGACACGTAAATTGCCATTCGTCGCCATTATAGCTCGAGGCCACTCATTAGTAGTACGATTCCTACGTCGGTTACCTCGTGTGTGAAGGTCTAATTATCATTCACAATAAACATCGACTAACTCAAACAATGGACGATAGACCAACCACAGACCGTAGTGCAGAGGGGAGGAGAGAAGAGAGGACTGCGAGGTCTGTTATCTGCGAACATCAGGGCGCGGTTCCATGTCCAAGTCCGACAGAGGTTGGTTGTTCGGATCACATACGATGACAGGGTGTGCAAAGCTTAGGTGCGCATGTTGTGTTCTCGAATTTTGTCTGCTTTGGAGATCAGCTCTACTTGGAAACTGATGTTGATCAGAAGGTTGAGGGTAGTCTGGTGTCGGAATAGGACGATTGGAAATCTAATCCACAACTTCCGTAAGTACTCGAGGTGTCGGGATTTTTTATGTGTATGTGAACGGATTGATTGTCAGTCCCACGCGTGAATGATCATGTAGCCTTTCGACTCAATTATTTCGATTTGGTGCCGGCTTGGATGAGGAACTCTAGAAATATCGTACGGCCGCCCAGGACTTACTACTCTACGTCATGTTTAAAAAAGCAGATTCTGTTTTTTTTCTCCTCCCATCCGTCTCTACCATTTGTTACTGGGGCAATGATTTCTAATCCGGCTGTCGGGGAATGCTTTTTATCTCTTCCAAATTCCACTTCGTTTATTCCCTCCTCCAGATCTGCTTCTTCTATTGTCTCTTCTTCTACTTCCTCTTGCCTTTTATCGACGATCACTGAAGATGATGTCGCCCCATTTGTTGGCTTACGGAAGGATCTGGTATGTTCACCTATGGATCATAACAATAGCGATACTTTTGTCTGTTGTCGTACGGTTTACGGACAGGGGATGAGCAAGTTTTTTTTTGGAAATCCGGCGTTTGAGCTGTGTAGTGAGGATGAGGATGAGGTGCTGCGACGTAGCAAGGTTGAGTATGAGAGTCGGCGGCTTCGGGGTGTAGGAGCTTGGAAGAACTCATGAGGATTGGGTAAGGCCTATTGTATGCCGAAGCATAACGATGTGGAACGTTGGAGGCCGATTTGCCCCTCGTATCCGGAATGTACTACAGCAGGAGGAAAACTTGTTTCCAAAGGAGTGAAACCTACCTGCTAATTCTAATTTGAACTTGAGGAGCGTTGACGGTTTGCTGAAGGCTATCAAGGAAGTCAACCAGGGTTTGACCAATGGGTTTTTTTCGATCGGAGCTTCGTTCGATATTAAAGAAATGTTTTCTAATTTGCCGCACTTGTCTATTCTGCGGTCTCTTGAATGGGTGATCGATTATTGAAGATTGGAGGGCGTTGAGGCGGTGGCCATTAAGAATCACGGTAAGGGTGCGAAGCTGAGCAAGGGCAGGATTGAGCAGGATTGGAAAAAGTTGAGCTTTGATGATATTTTCGCTTTTGTTAAATTTGAATTAGAATTTACTTACATTTCTGCTGCCGGGAGGATTTTGCGACAAACGATCGATATCCCTATGGGAAAGTCCACTAGCCCAGCTCTGGCGTGTCTACTATGCGCATATAATAAGTTTCTATATCTTTCGTCGTTAGCCAATGATCGTAAGTTGCTGACCGGTTTTCGATTGGTTGACAATGTCTCGATTTTTGTACCTTGCAAGAAGAGTGATCCAGGTTCACGATGTCGGGACAGAAACCCCTGTAAGGGTTTCTGCCCGAGTTTTCTAAGGGCAGACACTGCCCGACCTTTTTTTGGATTAAGAGACTTGACGAGGTTGACGTTGCCAAAAGTTATTCAAACCAACCCTATAACTGAGAAACCTAAAGCCTGACGTCGTTGATGTATGACGTCGTTGACATGTGACGACAACGGCGTCCGTTCGAGACAGCCGGAGTCGGCGGTATGGCCTGTCGTCCGCGGGTCTCGACATGGCCGCAGGGGTGCGCGGTCGTAGAAAGTCTGAGACTATACTTATTTTACCTAAAAGATGTAGCGCGGCTTAGCAGCCGCGCGATTCAAGGCCTAAGTAGGCTAAAAAGGAGGGATGCGCAGGGTATAGGGCTACGGTGCGAGAGAAATAGCAAGTTTTTTTTCCTTTTTTTTTGGCCGCCGGGTTAACCTCGAGCCAGGGTGAGGCCAGCAGGCCTATACCGAGGCCTACTTGATGGGCGGGCCCGGAGTGGTGGATGGGCAGCCATCCATAGGGAAGAAGCGGGCAGGCAAAGCCTGCAAGGTCACGGTATGGGGGAAACCTGACTAGGCGAGCTCTTCACAGAGGCGAGCTGCTCCTGTCATTATTATGATAGGAGCTAGCCCAGTAGGTTATCGCAGAGGACTCTTATTTATCTGGTACCGGGATCAAGCTTGGCTGCAAGCATCTTACCGGGCTAGCTCCTTTTGGAGCAGCCCAAGGCAGTTGGGCGCGGCCAATCTCGGCCGAGATCTGCTGCGCCCAGATCAAAGTGGCCCCTGCGCAAGGATGACACACATAAATCAAGAAAAGGCCAAAATTTTTCCTTTTTTGATATCGGATGGGGTCGAACTTGAGTCTGTAATTCGACAGATCGTGTTAGGGGGGGCCACACGATGTGACCACTGACGTGGCCATTGGCATAGCCAACGACAAAAAAAAAAAAAAAAAAAAAAAAAAGGGAAAACAGTCTTTGCAGACTGTGTGGGAGCACAAAGGCTCCCACTTCGTCTTGGAGACTGTGTGGGAGCACAAAGACTCCCACTTCGTTTTGGACAGATGATTGTGGCCGCAAGATCTTGAAATTTTGCGGCCCACAGTTCACACACGGAAAGCAAGAGGGGGTTGGAGTTGAGTAGAGAGTGAGAGAGAAAGAGAAATGGGAGGATGGGGAGAGGAGGACCTGCTCCTCCTGACCTGCCAGCTGCCTCTTAGGGGGGGTAAGAAGAGAAAAGAAAAGAAAAGAAGAAAAAAAAAAGAAAAAAAAAACGAAAAAACGGGATCTGAGTTTTTATGAGAAGCTGTATTTTTCAATTTGCGTCACTATTTTTTTGGTGGCGCAAAATAATTTTGTTGACCTTGATTTGTTTTCTGTAGGTAGTCAGACACGTACGTCATGTACAAGATTTTTTTTAGATTTTTTTATCTAGCGAATATTTTTCTAAAATTCTTCAAAGTCGGGGTACTTTTTGCACCCCGCTTTGAGGCTATCGGGATTTGAACTCGTGAATTTTCACGAGTACTTTCCCTACCTCTCCCAATCTGACAACCGCCATCCCCATTTTCAGGGGAGGGCAGGGGAGAAAAGAAAAGAAGAGGAGAGAAGAAGAAGGGGGGGGGACTGAGGCAAAATGAGGCTGCTAGAGCAACAACAAAAATAAAAGAAATAACGTACCTGGCGACTGTCAGGGCCAGGTTCCCAAACGGTTTGCTGCACTTGGTGCAGCAAACTAGCAAAGGGGCTTGCACCGAATGTGGTCAGGGTTGAGAGAGAGAAAGGGCACCTTTTTAATTTTTTGTTTGAACCTGGCCACTGTCGGGGCCAGGTTCCCAAGTGGTTTGTGCAGCAAACCAGGTAAAAAGCCTGGCTCTGAACTTGGCCGGGTTTAGAAGAAGATGCACTGCTGAGGTTGAACCTCAGCAGTAGCAGATCAACAAGGGAGGTGGCTGAATACAGCCTCCCCTTGTTGAATTTATTACAGGAAAAGGACCTGGTCCTTTTCCTTGTGAACGGATCTGGCCATTTCTGTTGTGTGGGGCTGGTATGTGTCCTTGATCTCACCTCGAGATCAAGGGCCCAGCCTGAGCTCGAATTTTTGGTTGAGAGCTCAGGCTGCTACCACCACCTCCCACAACTATAAAAGCAGCCAGCAAGCAGCCAACCAGCAATCATTTGTGGCTGGTGCTGCTAGCAATTCACTTGAGTGAATGCTGGCTTGCTGCTGCTGGGAGGAGCTGCTAGTGAGAGGAGGGGGAACTGCTGCTGGCTGAAGAGGAGGTCTGCAAGCGAGGGAGGAAGAGAACTGTTGGAGGTGGCCATAGCTGTGGAACACAGCCATAGCCACCGTCTCAGCAAGGTGAAGAGAGAGGGAAACGCTGGAGGTCTGCAGGGAGCATGAGAGTGAGGGCAGCCATAGTTGCCGCTGCAACTGGTGGAGCGCAGGGGAAACTCTGCCCGTTTTGCACGGCAGCGGCAGGGTTTTTAGCAAGCAGTGTAGGGGAAACTCTGCCCGTCTTGCACGGCGGCGGCGAGTCTTCGGCAAGCGGTGCAGGGGAAACTCTGCCTGTTTGACACGGCAGCAACAACGCTTTTTGACGGTGACGCGGAAGCGCCGCCGATTTTTTTTTGCGACAGCGGCAGTGTGTTCTAGGTAGTGACGCAGAAGCGCTGCTGATTTTTTTTGCAGCAGAAGCGCGGGCTTGACGGCGGTGGTGCGGAAGCGCTGCCAATTTTTTTTGCAGCGGCAACGTTGAGATTTTGGTGGTGACACGGAGGTGCTGTCGAAATCTGCCGGCGTCGACC